GCCCAGGCGGGTCTTGAACCCGCGGGCTCAGGCAATTCACTCACCTCAGCCTCCCAAAGGCGCGGGATTACAGGCTGAGCCACCGAGCCCGGCTATTTGCTTATTTATTTATAAGTCAAGGTATCACGCTGTCACCCAGACTAAAGTGCAGTGTCACAATCATAGCTCACCACAGCTTTTACTTCCTGGGCTCAGGGGATCTTTCTGCCTCAACTTCCTGAGTAGCTGGGACTACAGGCATGCACCACTATGCCTGGCTAATTTCTTTTTAATTTTTTGTGGAGACGAGATCTCACTATGTTGCCTAGGCTGGTCTCAAGCTCCTGGGCTCAAGCAATCCTCTCACCTCAGTCTCCCAAAGTGCTGGGATCATATGTGTGAGCCACCATGCCTGGCCTCTATTGTTTATTTAGTCTCAAGATAGTTATAATAATGCTAGTAGCACATATTTTTGCATATATTAACTAACGTAAGCCTCTCAACAGCCCTATTAAATAGTTATTATCTATTAGTATCTAGTAGCTATTGTTATCCTTATCACTACTTTATGGATGAGAAAACTGAGAGATGGCAACATTGAGTAAATTGTCCCAAATCTAACTAGCAGAACTAGGACTCGAGCCAAGGAATTTTAGATCTAGAGTCTATGCCTTTGATAAGGAATTTTTAAAAATGTGAAATGTCTTCTATGTTGCAAAAGCATTTTTTTTTTTATTATAAAGATGTGGAGCCAGGCTCGGTGGCTCAGCCTGTAATCCCGCGCCTTTGGGAGGCTGAGGTGAGTGGATTGCCTGAGCCCGCAGGTTCGAGACCCCCCTGGTCAGGTGAGACCTCATCTCTACAATAAAATCAAAAAAATTAGTCAGGCGTGGTAGCGCGCACCTGTAATTCTGGCTACTCGGAAGGCTGAGGCGGAAGGATCGCCGCAGCCCAGCAGGTCGAGGCTATGGTGGCCAGGAGCGGCCACTGCACTCCAGTCTGGGCAACAGAGTGAGACTCCACTCAAAAAAAAGATGTGGGATACAATTCAGGTTAGGTATACAAACATTGATTATGCAGGTACCCTTGTTGATGAGGTATGCCCCTCCCTTCCCTAGCAGTTTTCCTCAACTGCCAATCCCATCCCCCCTCCCCTGACAGTTTCCCATTACTGCTGATCTCTTTCTTATAGTAGTATAATTGTTCCAGGTCCACTTATGAGTGAGAACATATGGTACTCTGTTCTTTGTTTCTGTGATAGATCACTGAGTGTGATCTACTCCAAATCCATCCAAGCTATTTTCAGCTAACATGATGGGAGATCCTTCTCTCATGGGGGAGACAGGCCTGTTCACACTCAGGTCTGCAGTTGACAAAGGACAGAAACAAGGCCAAGGTCCTCCGTGCTGCTCCTGGAGATGTCTTCCAAACTTCTGGAACTCTTGACCCTCTGTCACCAGCTGACAGAAGCAAGCCTGGAGAGTGCACACCTAGCTCAGTGAGTAGCAGGATTCAGACGGGACATAAACTTTCTAGCAGAACAAGAGAGTTACTGACCGTGGGTCTGCCTGCCGACAAGCCTCTCAGTCCCCAGAGCAGCCAGAGTTAGTTTTCTTTTTTTTTTTTTTCTTTTTCTTTTCTTTTCTTCTTCTTCTTTTTTTTTTTTTTTTTTTTTTGAGTCAGAGTCTCACTCTGTCGCCTGGGCTGGAGTTCATTGGCATGCCCAGCAGGTCTGAGGTACTGAGTGTTAGGACTAGAACACATGAATTTTGACCTGCTGGGGTCAGGTGATTCTTCTACCTCAACCTCCCAAGTAGCTGGAACTACAGGTGTGTGCCATCATGCCCAGCTAATTTTTGGATTTATTGTAGAGACAGGGTCTTGCCAAGTTGCCCAGTTTGATCTTGATTGAACCGGTGGGCTCAGACAATCCTCTCACCTCCACCGCCCAAAGTGCTGGTATTACAGGAGTGAGCCACCATGCCCAGCCAAGGTTGAGTTTTCTAAATGGCTAAAACAATCTCCTTCCTCCCTTGTTCCTTCTCCAAGCATCCCCCCATGCCTCTTGGACCACTCAACTAGGCTGGGCCCCTACTGGCCTCTGTGATCCTCTCCACTCAGCTATTTTTCTCGAAACTAGATGCCTAATGCTGGTTCATTGGTTTCCTGGCAGCATAAGCTCCCTGAATGCAAACGCCCATCCATGTTGTTTACCATGGTAACCCATGACTTGGGAAGGGGCCTGAGCCACCCCAGGCACTCAAGGAATGTTGGCTGAATTTGCTCTTGAGTGGAATGATGTTGAAGAGCAGAGGCTCTAGAGAAAAGGAAAGAGATGAATCAGTGGCAGCATCCAGGTCTGATAGAGGCATGGAGGGTTCAGGGCTAGGAGAAGAGAGAGATGAATGAGTTATGTTTTAGGTCTGAGTGTGAGGTGGTGGTAAGATACCAAATAGACACGTTCCGTGTTCCTCAATGGAACTTGAGGGTTTGTGGCAAACATGGATACATGGATGAGTGCTGTTGTGTTTTGGTCTCCACAAGAGACCCTACAGGCATAGAGTTCATCATCAATCACCCACCAATAGCCATCATCAATGGCCTGTTATGGGCAGGGCCCTGCGGTGGGCTGGATTTTTTATGTATTCATTCACTTAATTCTCAGAATATCCTTATGAAGTACATTACAAACATTTTATCAATGAGGAAATAGAAGCTCAAAAAAGTGTTGAACTAATTTGTCCAGTGTCATATAACTAGAAAGCAGTAGAAGCAGAATTCAAACTCTTAGTCAAGATATTATGAACCTCTCTCCGTAATTTATGATCATTACTTGCAGGGAGCTTATAATGTAAAAATTACCCATAATGCAATATAGTAGTGATATTCTATTCATACAAACAAAATAATAGGGGAGTACAGAAAAGAGAGTTTTTTTCTTTCTAAGTGGCTCAGGGAAACAGTAATAGAAAAGGGGCTGTTATGAGTTGGATTGTGTTCCTCCAAAATTCATGTGTTCTAGTCCTAACACTCAGTACCTCAGAATGTGGTCTTATTTGGAGACAGGGTCTTCACAGAGGAAATCAAGTGAAACTGAACTTATTAGGGTGGGCCCTAATCCCGTATGCTGGTATCCTTATAAGAAGAGGAAGTTGGGGCACAGACACACACAGAGGAAGACAATGTAAAGACACAAGGAGAAGGCGGCCATCTACGAGCCAAGGAGAGAGGCCTGAAACAGATCCAGTTCTCTTACCCTCCAGAAGAAACCAATCCCACTGACACCTTGATCTCAGACTTCTGTCCTCCAGCACTGTGAGAAAGTAAACTTCTATCATTTAAGCCACCGAATACTTTGGGCATTTCTGTGATACTTTGTAGTAGCACCCCCAGCAAGTCAGTATAGGTGCCAAAAACTCAATCATGTGTTCCAACTTCTCAAGACAGAGAAATGTGTTCAAGGGGGAAGAGAGGAAAGTATTGTAGACACATAAGACTGAGATGCCAGAGGGACGTCTAAATGGAGCCACGCTGCAAGCCCCAGACTTGGGACTGAAACTCAGAGTTGAAACAAGACACAGATGAGAGTGACAGACTTTGAGGGAATGGTCTTAGGGTGTGGGGTTGGATGAATTCCCAAGGAGAGGATGTAGCAGATGATAAGAGAGCCAGGTTTGAACCCCTAGGAAACTTTCTGAATTTGTAAGAAGGAGGATGAGAAGCCAGTGAAGACTGAGAGTGAGTCAGGAGTTTGAAAATCTTGGATCCAGGAGAACAAAGATGTTCCACAGGAAGGAGAGAGAGAGGCCAGCTGTGAAGAGCACTGAGAGAAGATGATAGGAGTCATATTGAGGGCAACATGAGTGACCTCATGAGGGCTCTGAGGACAGAAACCAGCCTGTAGGAAATGAGAAGGTGGTGCCCAAGCACATCTCCTTTTTGAACTATCTTCTACCGTCTGTAACTATCACAGCAAGAGCAGAACATAAGACCTTTGTGACTCATTCACCTCACGCAGCCCATACTTACTCTCGTTTGACTTTTGCTTTTATGCTTGTTCAAGCATTTTGGTTCTCTTACCAATTATTTTCCTTTTAGGAGAAGACTAACAAATATCCTTGGCTTTTTTTTTTTTTTTTTTTTTTTTACCTTTTAGGCTCTATAAGGAACTGGCAAGGGAGATGGGTTTTGAAGAGTTCCATTTGTATCTGAAGTCTGTTCACTTTGAATTTGTATCACACAAGGACACACCTCCAATCTTCATCACCTCTTGATGGAGGACAGTGCTCGGGGAGGCAAGTGAACCTTGAAGGTCAAAGTGAAAATAACATAATGGTAGATGAAAAACCAGTGGAAAATCATTTCTGTCACTATTGCATATGCAGGTGCAATCACATTTCTAAACTCTCTCCCTTATATTCTATGATGCTAGTGTCTGCCATAAAGCCAATTTTTTTCTTTTTCTTTTTCTTTCTTTTTTTAAATAGGAGGAGAAAAATGAAAACTTGAATAAGGGGACAATTGGATTTAAGAACACTGAATAGACCAGGCTTGGTGGCTCAGCCTGTAATCCCAGCAATTGGGGAGGCTGAGGTGAGTGGATTACCTGAGCCTGCAGGTTCAAGATCAGCCTGAGCAACTTTGCGAGACCTTGTCTCTACAATAAAAACAAAACAAAAACAAACCAACAAAAAACTGCGTAACTGAGAAATGTAAGAACCGGGCACAGAACTCAAAAAAGATGAAGTCACAGGCTCAGCAGCTTCCCAGGCAGAAGCTTATGTTTCTTCCAGATAGAAAGGGGTGTGAGGGTCTGAGGGGCAAGAGCCATGGATCAGAAGTCCAGGTCTCTTCTCGCCTTTTCCCTGGGACCAGAAAGAAGTCACTTAAGTATTCTGAGTGGCTGTTTCCTTGAAACTATAATGTGATGTACAAATCTAACACATAGGCAATATCTCAGTCAGCCTCCTTGTTGGTTAGTGACAGAAGCCAACACAAACCAGTGAAACCTCTTTCTCACATCCATAGGTTCAGACCATTGCCTAAAAGAAATCACTCCTGCTAGAAACAGATCATGGATCCACTCAGTCACAAAGGAATCATTCTTTCTCTTCCCACAGTCAGTCTTTGCTGTGGCTAGAGGAGAAACTTCTCTCCCCCTCTTCTTTCCTTCTCTGCTAATCTCTTCTTCCCTCCAGGGTCCCAGCTCTTTCCCTGAGGATTCCTGGGACTGGCTCCACCCCACCGAAGGAAAAGGGTGACCCTAAGGAGGCAAAGTCACCTCTTTTTTTGCCAATGTGAGCCATTGCTCAAAATATAACTCTTCTGTGTTACTCTGCTGAAGGACTCCTCAGAGCAGGGGTGGATGAGAGGGTGAGGATGACATTAGGGGCTGGATTAGTCTTTGTTGTGAAGGACTGTCCTGTGTGACTCAGGTTGTTTGGCAGAATTCCTGATGTCTACACACTAGATACCAATAGTATCCCAATACCCCACCCTACACACACCATTTCTGATCATCAAAGATGTCTCCAGACTTTGCCAAATATCCCCTGGAGTCAAAACTTCTTCCTGCTCTGTCCTGTCACATTAGCTAAACACAAAACAGAATTTACTGAAAATATACAGAGGTATTCATGGGGACCAGGGCAGGAAGTATGATCTGGCCTAAGGTCTTCAACTGGGAAAAAGAACTTCTAGAGCCAAGTTATTCTCTGGCTCTTCCAAGGTCTTCTGCTGTGGAAATAGGGCACGTTTTTGTTCAGTCAAAATCCACCAGTCAGCACACACAGCCCAAATGCTCCGTGGTCTGGCCATACTGTAATTGGTCCTCCAGTGATGACCCAGAGAAGCTGCAAGATAAAGGGAACCCCCCTGAGTTGGGGAGGCGGTTTATGCATCCAAAGATTTAATTAAATAATTTAATTTAATAACTTAATTGAATACCCTGTTGATTTAATTTAATTTAATAATGTATGTTAATTCCTTACATTTGTCACTTTGGAGTGCAGCTATAACAACATCTACAATTGTCCCTTGCTGTCTGTGGGGGATTGGTCCCAGAAGCCCCTCAGATAACAAAATTCAAGGATGCTTAGGTCCCTGACATAAATTGATATTGTATTTGCATATAACCTACTGACATCCTCTCATATACTTTGAATCATCTCTAGATTACGTATAATACCTAATACAATGCTATATAATTATTGTTATACTATATTGTTTTATATCTATGTTATTTTTTTATTGTCATATTGTTATTTTGCTACTTTTTATTGTTATTTTTTTTCAAATATTTTCAATCTGCTACTGGTTGAATCCACAGACATGGAATCCACAAATATGGAGGGTCAACTGTACTAAACACAAGTATAGTGACTTACATTTTAAAAATCACATTCATGTATATTATCCTACTTAATATTTGTCATAACCCTATAAGACTAGTGATATCCCCATTTACAGATAGAGAAACAAAGATTGATAAATATTAAATTACTTGACAAAGTCTCATAGTTATGGACAAAGGACCATGTCCCAAGTTAGAAACATTCTGCAAAGAATATTTTGATGACTGATAGAAACCATAGGAGAGAATGAGAATTGGATACAATTTAGGAGGCATTCAAAGGAGGGAGTCAGTGAGGGATCCCGAAAAGGTGTGGTCAAGAAGGTGAGAAGAAGCCAGGCATGGTGGCTTACGCCTGTAACCCCAGGACTTTGGGAGGCAGAAGCAAGAGGATTGCCTGATTCCAGAGGTTCAAGACCAGTCTGGAAAAGTTGGTGAGACCTTGTCTCTACAATAAATCAAGAAAAATTAGCCAGGCATGGTGGCACATGCCTGTAGTCCCTGCTACTTGGAAAGCTGAGGTGGAAGGATCGACTGAGCCCAGCAAGTCAAGGCTGCAGTGGCCATGAGCATGCCACTGCCCTTCAGCCTGGGCAACAGAGTGAGACTCCAACTCAAAAAAAAAGCGACCTGCTCTCTTAAGAAAAAATCCACTCCCATGGTAATGAAATTAATCCATTCATGAGGGTTCTGCCTTCATGACCCAAGCACCTCTTATTAGGCCCCACTCAGTACATACATTTTGGGGAATACATTCAAACCATAGCAATGGCATTCCCTTGTTTGATGTGCACAAGAACCTGGTTTGAACCAGAAAGACTGCCACACCACTTGCAATAACTTCTGTTAACTACTATGATATTTACCAATGTGGTGAACCATTTGTGCATAAACCTATTAAAATATACACTTGTTATTGAAGCTTTTATCTAGTCTTTTTAAACCTGGTGCTATTTTTTCCCCTGCCACTTGGATTTCTTTGCCTCTATGTGCATAATTTTAAAAAACATTGGACTAATCTTGGCTTATAGGAACCTGCCACTGAGCACGTTTGCTAGTTCATGAAAACCTACTCATCCTTTCTTGACCATTGGGGAAACCTGATGGTGTCCAGTTACAGAGGAAATCAGGCCTGGAGGCTGTTTTTCTGGAATGAGACACTGCTTATGGAGAGGGCATATTCAGTCTTATGGCTGAGTCACAAGCATCCAACTCATCCAGCAGTTTGATTCATAGATCTACATGGTGAATAAGTGGTGATCTCAGTTTCACCTCTTTCTTTATGTAAGACGTTCCTAATAACTTTCGTATTGTATTCCTTTAGCTCCCGTTCCATTCAGGAGTGGAAAATATGCAGGTGACTCTTGCATGCCAAGCTGCTCAGAAAAATGCTTGAATGGTGGCTATTCAGCAAGCATAGTTCTATTACACCCCTCAAAAGAGCTGTCCTGCTGATGTCAAGGTCAACTTGCATGATAGAGAAGTCAAAGTCATGTTACCACTACTGCCAGCTAATGTTAGGCTGCCCCTACCCCCTCTCTCCCCCCTCCCTTCCTCTCCCTTTCTCTTTCTCTTTCTTTTTTCTCCTTCCCCCTTCCCTCTCTCTCCTATTTCCTCTTTCCTATCTTTTTATCTTCCTCCCTTTCTTTTTTTCTCCCTTCCTTCTTTTCTATGTGTGACTCAATGTGTGACTAAATACTTACTGGGTCTCTTAATTTTTAGTGACATGTTAATATTTTTTCCTTTGTATGTAATGCCGTAATACTGATGGACTAGAATCATTCAGCAGAAAATATCTTGCTCCCTAATCCTTACCCTTTGTAGATAAATGATTTCGTTGTTTTCTGGTTTATTCTTCCTAGAATTCTTTTTGCAAAAGTAAGCAGATGCATTCAATCCTTCTTTTTTCCACAAAAGTTACCACACTATAGATATTTTTTTTTCTTCTGGATTTTTTTTTTGTCTTTTGGTTATTGGGATATAATTCACATAATATAAAACTTACTCCTTCATTGTATATAGTTCAGTGGTTTTTAGTATATTTACAAGACTGTGCAGCCATCAACATGATCTAATTCTAAAGCGTTTTCATCATTCCCAAAAGAAACCCTAACCCATTAGCAGTCGATCCTCACTCCTGCCTCCCCTTGGTCCCTAATAACCATTAATCTACTTCCCACCTTTATAGATTTGCCTATTCTGGACATTTTATATAAATGGAATCATACGATATGTGGTCTTTTGTGTCCGACTTTTTTCACTTGGCATAATGTTCTCAGAGTTTATCCATGTTGTAGCATGTATCAGTACTTTATTTCTCTTTATTACTGAATATATTTCATTATATGAATATATCACATTTTGTTTACCTAATCATTAGTTGACATATGTTGAGTTGTTTCTGCCTTTTAGCATTAGGAATAATACTGCTATGAACATTCGTGTATAGGTTTTATGAGGATGAATGTATGGTAACCCTATATTTTACATTTTGAGAAAGTGCCAAACTGTTTTCCAAACTGGCTGCACTATTGTACATTCCCACCAGCCATGTATGAGGATTCCAATGACTCCACGTTTTTTGTCAACACTTGTTATTTTCTGTCTTTTAAAAAAAATTTTAGCCATCCTACTAGGGGTAAAGTGGGATCTCATTTTGGCTTTGAGTAGCGTTTCCCTATTTACTAAGACATTGAACACCATCTACAGCAGCTATAGTCTTGTATTTCTTAATAATGTATTTATTTTTAAATGTAAAATATATTTCTTAATAATAAGACTTGAGCATTGATTCATAAACTGCAGAATGGATGTTGTGTTAGCAGTCCTGAAAACATTAATCTTGTCATCTCCATCAGAGCTCTTGGGTGACTAGGTGTGTTGTCAATGAGTTGTACTATTTCGATGGGAATTTTTTTTTTTTTTTTAGCAGCAGATCTCAATAATAGGCTTAAAATGTTCATTAAACTGTATGGTAAACAGATGTACTTGTCAGCCTTTCCTTTGAAGCTTTGTTTTTGTTAGTTTATTTTGTTTTGAGTTGGAGTCTCACTCTGTCGCCCAGACTGGAATGCAGTGGCCGCTCCCAGCCACTATAGCCTTGACCTGCTGGGCTCCGGCGATGCTTCCGCCTCAGCCTTCCAAGTAGCTGGAACTACAGGCGCGTGCTACCATGCCCAGCTCATTTTTTTTGGTTTATTGTAGAGATGAGGTTTCGCCAAGTTGCCCAGGTGGGTCTCAAACTGGCAGGCTCAGGCAATCCACTCACCTCAGCCTCCCAAAGGCATGGGATTACAGGCCGAGCCACCGAGCCCAGCTTCCTTTGAAGCTTTGAAGACAGGCATTGACTTCTTCTCTCTAGCTATAAAAATCCTGACACCTTCTTCCAATAAAAGAATGCTTTATCTACATTGAAAATCTGTTATTTAGTGTAGCTACATTTAACAATGATCTTTTTGACATCATTATAAGTAGAATTGTTTTCTTAATTTTACTTTCAGAGTGTTCACTATTAGCATATAGACATACAATTGATTTTTGTATATTGATCTTGTATCTGCAACCATACTAAACCAGTTTACTGTTCTAGTAGTTTATAGGTGTGTATTCCTTGGACTTTTTCTATATACAAAATTATGTCACCTGCAAGTAGAAATAGTTTTACTTCTTCTTTTCCAACTTAGGTGCCTTTTATTTCTTTTTCTTGCCTAATTGCTCTGGTCAGACACTGTAGTACAGGGTTGAATAGAAACAAGTAACAAGAATGGATATTATTATATTGTCTTATTCTTGACCTCAGGGGAAAACTTTCAATCTTTCACAATTAAGTATGGTGTTAGCTATGGTTTTTTCATACATGCCTTTTACCAAGATGAGAACATTCCCTTTTATTGCTACCCTAGTAGTACCCTATTGCTTCACTGAATATTTTTATTATAAGGGGTTTTGGATTTTATCTACATATACCTTTTTGTACTTTTCCCCCACTTAACAGTATATCCTGAAAATAACTTCAAATCAATTCACAGAGTTTTTCTCCCATTCTTTTTTACTATTGTATAGCTCTCAGTTATGTGTATGCTGATGAATGTAACTTACTTGTAAAATTAAATATAGTTTCAAAAAATCAACTTTCCAGATGACTTTAAACATTTGTTAAGCCTCATAGAGTCTATTTAGTTCATTAACCCATTACCACATTTGTCTATCTCTACTTTTCATTTCTACTCTTCATATTAATAGGAGAGTACAAATTCATAGGTATGACAAGAATTCCCACTTGTACTGCCAAATACTCATTCCCATAGAAATCAATTGCATGGGGGCCAAAGGAGGCCCAAACTTTACCTGTACAATGACTACTTGTATACCGAATCCTGACTTGTATCCCACATCTTTAAAATAAAACTTAAAAATAAAATAAAAATGAAAAGAAAAAAAAGAAAGGGAGGTTAAAAGACTTGGTTTTAAAAAGAAAAAAAAAAAAAAGAAATCAACTACAATAGAAAAAAAGCATAGAGTGAGTTATATCAGTTTTTAAAAATTCAACCCCCAAAATCTTAATTCAGTGCCTACTATCAGTTAGACCCATCAGGTAATACGGAGGTGCAGTTCCTGCTTCTAAGGAACCTGTAGGCCAGTGTAAGGGGGACAGTCCCACAAGTGGCTCAAATACTAGGTATCAGAGAGGTTCAATGGGCTATGGAAGAAGTTTAAAGAAAACTCACATCTGGGGAAACAGGAAGGGAAGCACAGAGAGAGGCCATTAGGATGAAGGATGAATTTTTGCCAGACAGAGATGACTATTTGAATATTCTGAGCAAAGAGCCTTCAGACACTCAGGCATAGAAGCAGGAAATGGCAAGTATAAGTTAGGGGGACCAAGACACAAGGAGAGGTGAAGTCCTGAGCCATGGAGACAGCAGTGAGGATGAGCTGGAGGGATGGTGTGAGCAGCATTGTTGGGATGTGTATACCACACAGGCTTGGGGCAAAGCCCAGGAATGACTCAGTGGACAAAGGTGAAGATTCCTATCAAGTAGCCACCCTCAACTTCTCCCTTCAAGCTTTACGCCTGCAACTTTCTTTCTCTCCAGCCTAAGGGTATGAAGCGTTTTTCCTCCCAGTCAAGCTGATCCCTTCCCACCAGCATCCTTTATTCATTTGCTCTTCTAAGAACTTGCTTCATTGCTTATCTTCTTTCCCTACTATACCCTCCACCTTTCCCTCTGTTACCTGTTTCCACTTGTGGATACTTTCCACTTGTGTGCAGGCTAGATTGTTTTCGTCCTTTCTAAAAAGCTTAACTGACTCTTGTGTGCTTCTCTGACCAGTACCTTAATTATGGCCTGACTTGCTCGTTCAGGTTTATTGAAAAGATAGTCTCAACTCCCTAGTTCTGTTTCCTAACCCCTGTTAATTATAGTCCAGCTTCCGCCTCTACCACACCCCTGAAATTGCTCTCACTAGAGTCAGCAATGACTTCCTGATGATCAAATTCAGAGAACACTATTCAGCCACTTCCTTGACTACTTTCCTGTTTAATGTTGTTGACTAGTCCCTCGTCCTTGGAATGCTCCTTCTCTGACTCTACCCTTTCCTGTAGCTCTTCTACCTCTTTGTTCCTTCTCAGTTTCCTGGGGCGAAGTCTCTTTCTTCCACCTATCTCTTACATATTGGTGTTTTCCTGGGTCCTCTTTTTAGAGGATTTCTGTTCTTTCCTTTCTTATCCTCCCTTAGTGATCTCATCAACTCTTGAGGTTTTAAACCTCCAATATCCTGTCAACTTTCAAATCGACTTTCAGATCTTTCATGGAATCTCTCTCCCAAGCCTCAAACTAGAGTATCTAAATGCTCCTTAGACAGTTTATGGATATCCCACAAACACTTCAACTCATGCCGAAGAGGCAACTCATCCTTCTCCTATCTGGTCCTCCAGTATTTCCATTCTTGGTTAAGATACCACCACCTGAGTAGTCAGATAGGTCTGAAACCTGGGTATTGTCCTCAGTTTCTTTTGCTTTCTCACCCTGGACCTGTCAATCACTACCTCTTGCCAATGTCACATTCTAACTATTAATTAAATATGGTCCCTTCTCTCCATCCCCACTGCCTTAGCTCAAACTCCTGTGATCGTAACGGTCTTCTAACTGCCCTACATCACTCTGGATCCATGACTTGAACCACCACCTCTGCCCCTAACCAAATTTATTCTCCACAGAGTGACCAGAAAAGCCTTTTTTTTTTTTTTTTTTTGAGTCGGAGTCACTGTTGCCCAGGCTGGAGTACAGTAGCATGCTAATGGCCACCATAGCCTTGACTTCCTGGACTCAGGTGATCCTTCCACCTCAGCCTTCCACGCAGCTGGAACCACAAGTGTGCACCACGACAATGGCTAATTTTTTTTATTTATTGTAGAGACAAGGTCTTGCCAAGTTGCCCAGGCTGGTCTTGAACCCATGACCTCAGGTAATCCTCTCACCTCCACCTCCCAAATTGCTGGATTACAGACATGAGCCACAGTGCCCA